TATATGAGTTTTAATTTGTATCACATTTTCTACATTTGCCATATTTTTGCAATTTAGTCATTAAAAATGCAATTTATATCATTTTTTTGAGGGTAAAAAAGTCACGCTGATGATGTAGACGTCTCAAAAACTCACAAAAACATGTATCATGTACGATACGCCTGGCTCTGAAGGGTTAAAGTGGGATTTGCTTTCAAAACAAAAGCTTCACTTTTCGAAACACGTTGGCTGCAGTTCTGAGACACAACTTTAACTTTGAAAGTGAACTCTCTTCATTTCCTGTTTGCGTCGCAAGTTGTGCCACCGCTTGGCCAGTATTTAGCAAGTATTTGTAGACAAACATGAAAAACTATAGGCAAAGCAGAAGGAGGCTTTTGCTTTTGGTGCAATGCTTTCTTTTAATCCAGTTTCAGAGGAGGTTGTATCACGTTAAATATGGCGGCTAGCTCTGTGAGAGCAATGTGCACACAAAAGCTAAAAACATGAGGTTTACGATAACCTACGGCAGGGAAAACACCAAAATATAATATGTATATACTTTCCCTAACCTAATCTAAACTGAGTCAAGAGATGGTAAATGAAAATTTACAGCATGCTTTTGTATGTCTTTGACCACTTTAATCCCTTTTCGGACTCCAGTATTTTGCCCCAAAACACGTTGAGATGCTGACTGGAGGAGGCAGAATTGAACCGCTGACCTTCCAATTTATGGCTGACCTGCTCTGCCTCCTGAAGCATATTAGTGAAAAGGTGTGTGTCAGGTACTCACCATGTGGTCCACCTCCTGTGCTGCAGGTGTTGCCAGGCAAATGCAAGAGCCACTTTCAAATTCTAACCTTGAAACACAATACTAACCCAAGGCCGGCATGATGGAGAACACTAGTGAGCATCAGGCTTTAATTGATATCCACAGGTCCCTGCTGATATAACATATTTTATGAAAATATTTTATGAGCTACAACTTCAAGTGAGAAGTATTTAAAGACAATCATTGTAAAATGTTAGTGAGCGATGATTGCATTGTTTGCTTTATTCATCTGTGCAGCTCAAGAAAAAAGAAAATTAGAGCCAAATATTTGACACACAGCAATCCTGCTAATTGCTGAAGGAAAATATTTAGCTAATTTTAGATGTTTAAGCATCCAGTCTGATGCAGATTTTAAGAAGTGTGGCAGTGAACACATAGTCATTAACTGGAAAGAGCTAGAACAAAACCAAACCACCCCTCCTCTTCATAAATAATTCTCTTTTGTTTTTTATTGAGCATGATGTTTCCTACCCAGGTAAGTTCACTCTGTTTTTGTATTCACAATGTGGTTAAAGCTCAGAATAATGAGCTCACCCTCATGAGGTGCATTTTCATCACTCTGCCCGGTGGTGGGTCAGCCAAAGGAGAGGAAATTCCACTGCTGCAAGAGGGTTGATTATGATAATAACATCAGCAACAAAAAACAAAGGATAAAGTCTTTGCATGGGGAGCGTAACACTGGAGAGCCTTATTCTGATTAACACGAGGGTGTTTTAACAGCATGTGCCATCGGAGGAAGTGTTAATAACAATGTTTGGAGTCAGGATTTGGGTCCGTCAGAAGGAAACGTCCTGCTATTGTTTTCTTTGTTGGTGTTGAGCATTTTATTGATGCAATTTGGTTTTTATTTCAGCTTTATGTGAGGTGGTTTGCAGTGTGTTTTTGCTAAGGGTAGCTCTATGAATGAACTTTGTTAATATTGCCCTCACATTGACATTTCTACCTCGAGGCAGTCGTCACATTCAACACTTGTTCCCACAGGAGACTTCATGGCTCACGGCTCTGTAACAGTATGGCTGAGCTCTCAAGCCTCAGCAGGAAGAAGGTTATGAACCCTATCATTAGAGGGAATATGTCACTGTGTGTGTATTTGTGTGTGTTTGTGAAAAGACTACATAGGGGGTGCATTTGTTCTAGGGGGTCAAACGGAACCGGCATCAAGGTAAGTCACCTGTCCTTGCCTGCCTGCCTGGAGGCTTGTACTGTACTGGATTCGGTGTGAGAATAAGTTTCACGTCCTCCATAACCGCGCTGCAACCCATCAACCTCTGCATGTGTCAACCACAAGAAGCCTTCTGTGTTTGCTGAGGTCAAAGTCATCTGTCAGACTGTCGAGATGGCTGGCTGGCTGGCTGGACGAAGGTAATTGGTAGCATTGCCGCCTTATAAGAGAAGCTTGACAAAAATCTTGCCATGTGTCAGGGAGGTTTGATCGGGGAGCGCAGCCTCCTCTGATGGTTGCCTTTGCTGAGACGCAAGCACACAAGCTGAATGCAACAAAGAGGCACGTGGCCACTATCACGCATGAGAGCAACCAAAGGTTGCTGAAACACTTCGCTCTTGATGGAAAAAGAAAAAACAAACCAGAAAACAGTTCATACGAGGAGTCTTTAGTATATCTGCCACCCAGAGAAGATATTACTATCTATGTAAATTGTGGGTGTAATGAAGCGTATTTAAAGGAACTCCAGGCCTGGAGTTTTACTGCTCTTAACAATGGACGTGTTTGACCGAAGAGGTGGTTTGAAATGTGACATATTTGTGCCTTAGAAATCACCCCCGGAGATGTTTTAGCTTCAGGCCAGAGATAAGTCCCAATCACATCTCCTGGCCATTTCTATGGTTGCCAGGATACAGAGCTTCACATAAGCAGTAGTTCCAGTCAGGCTTTACGAACAGACAGCTGAGCCAAGTAGTGGAAATCAGGGAGCTAGTTAACCGTCTTCCTTCTAAATCTCCTGTGTTAACTGTGCCAAGGAAGCTATGTTCCTGCCCCCTTTGTCTGTTTCCTTCACGATTAGCAGGATATTTTAGAAGACAGTGACACTCAGCTGAAAGTTGGACTACTGGCCAAAGGAGATTTGATAAGTGGTGAGCTGAAACTTGGCGAGGACACTGGCATTAACGAAGACAGTTACTTTATCTCTTGGTTCAAAATGAGAGAAAATTGTAACCCCTACTACCTTTTTATTTAATTTTTACTAAGCATTTTAGGAACTTTTAGATTATGGTCTTGGTCTAATATGACAGTGATGGTGAAACACTAGGTAACAAGAGAAGTTTTTCGTCATTTCCTTATTTGTATTATTTTGTATGCTCGTTTTGAACAAAACAGTGAGTCAGCAAAGCAGACTAAGCTTTGTCGGGGAGGCACCGCACATGTTACTGGGTTAAAAACTGTTAAGTGGAGATAATACAGCTCACCAACCATAAGGCAAGAAGCAAATGTGAGAAGTTTAATGTCAGTGTGCTGTGCGGGAGCATAGATCCATGTCTAATGTCTGAGTAAGGGTCTGTCAGTATCCAACGTGTTATCAATTCTAAGGTGTCAGGACCTAATAAAAATCATCAAGCCCTTAGGAGGTATTAAAATTAGGTAGACATAATCTCAGATGAATATCATCATGTAATGTGTTACAGACTGGTCTGTTTTAGTGAATCGCTGTTCAAATATGCAATTGCGGAAACAAAGCACCTCTTCCTGCTATTGACACAGAGCCTTAAGATACTTATTTCCTCTCTGTACCTGCTGCAGAAATTCTTTAATTTCTTTTTCCACATGTAATCCATAAAAAATGTGCAGCTTAACAATGTGAACCCACCCTGTGCTGTAATCCCCATCGCAGGATGCCGTAACCACAACTGTGACATTTCTAACGCGTCAAATAAATATTTTATTTAAAATAATTCTCTAGGGTCATAATGTGTTTTGCAGTTTTGTGACGTGGGCTGTTTTACTGCATTGTTTTGTTTCGTCTTGAACACTGACACAGTTTTTGTCTGGGTTGCCAGGTTTTGTTCTCCGCATACAGCCTAGCTTGTATGGCTCTCAGACCTGCACCTTTTAATCCTCACAGCAGTGTGTGCTCAGTGGTAAAATTACCTCAAGGTCCGCTGTGAGACTTAAGTTCATTTCTCCACTTTAAATCTCCTGTAAAGAGACTGGCATTTGGGATTTACAATGTGCCAGTGACTGACCTTAAAAGACACGCTGTCCTAAACCATGCCAGTGTCATAACTTGTTTAATTAAAGGTATGTCACAACTTTGTCACATAGGAAGGGCTTTCGGCCTTTAGAATTAAATGTAGATGTTGTCATCATTTGTCTATCAGTTTCTGAACTGGTTTAATCTGACCTCAAGTGAATACAACTGTCATAAAATTATTAAAAGTGAACTGTGGCATTGTGCTTTCCTTTCACAGTAAGTTCAGTGAGTCACGTGATGTAACTTTACTTTAAATAATGTATATCTGTCTAATCTTGAGAAGAGCAACAAGCTTAAACGTTTTGACTCTGGTGGGATGGAGCGCAGTGTCCGGCACTTTTAATTTTCCTCTGCATGCAGACCCTGGACTGTAAGGTAAGGACGGGGCTCAGAGACCCTGTGCAGATTTATGACATGGCTGAGAGGTGTGCCCTTCAGACAAGTGCAGGTAACAGCACACTTGTGAGGTGTCGAGCAAGGTTTATCTCTTTGTCGGAAATTAGAAGAAGGCCCATGGGTTACAGTCAAGTATCAACCTCTTAGGTTGAAAAATGAAACCTCCTGCAGTTCCTCCAGTCACTACTTAAGTGAGTCAGACTCAGTAGACTTGCATGTGAATTCGCCCAACTTCATAGCATTTCAAGGCACGTGTACAGCTTGGTACAAAATAAGTTAGGACCTCTAACTTATATTGGAGTATATTATGTCTACTGTAGAGTGGTGACCTGTCCAGGGTCTACCACAGCACTAGCCCAGTGACCACTGGAGCAGCTCCAGTGCCACCCCCATGACTCTGCATTGGATAATCAGTCAAGAAAATGGATGTGTGTGGGTGGATTTCGTTTTTTATATTCATACATCTGGATGGTGTTTATTTATATGACAGGGATACACAGTGAATTTAAACTGACCTTTTTCCCAGATGATTCTCTAAGATCACTGTGGATGACTTTTCTCATTGGCTTTGTGTTAACACGCCTGAATGCTCCGGGCCAACAAATGATCAAAACTTCTGTTTTTATAGAAGTGCTCACACTTGGTGATGATGTATTAACCAAGTGGGTTTGAGTTTCAGCGCCTGGCTGTTACTTCCCCTGCGTTTTACCTTAATTGCTGTTTAAAAAATGATTTCATGGTATAATATGTCATGCTGCTGTTTATCTGAGGTTGCATTTACCCAATTTTCAGGCCTGCTATGCATTGTTTTATTATGTCCTGATATATAAAAACCTTAGACCTGAAGAGGCGTGTGCTTTGTTTTTCACCGTACCTCAACGTAACACTTTCACATTCAAATATGGCAAAATTTGGCTACAAAAAGTCAACATCTAGGTGGCCTTAACGCTACCATTGAGACTTCAGTTTGAGGAGTCCACAAAGCAAGAGGTGATGCGGCCCGAAGCCCATCCATCTTTTATATACAGTCTGTGGTTACACCCCAATTTGAGTAATGAGGTCACGAAAGAGAAGAAAAGAGAGGTTTATGTGCTGCCCCAGTTTAAGGAGAAACATAGTTGTGCGTTTTCAGTGTAGATTACAGATGCATGTTCTAAAATATATCACAGTGCATTAGATGCCTTTTCACAGCAAATTAAATAGGACCTGCTGCTGATACTTGGGGTATGCCACATAACAAAACAATGCCATTAACTCACTGATTGAAACATAAAACGCTTCCTGAATTCTCACTTTATGTTTCAGATGATCTTGGAGTAGAGGAAGGCTGACTTTTTTTAATGCATTGCAGAGGTGCAACAAAATGAAAACAGCTTTTTTCAAACTCTATAGACAGTACTAAGTGCAGTAGGTGTTACACTTCATTGAGTATAGCTGGAGGATGAAAAACAGCATGCTTGAATGAGGACAGAAACGAGAAAAGTCTAAGAGCGCAAATAAAAATAAAGTTAAAAAATGTGTAAATGGTGATAAGAGAGGAAAGTTGGTGAATCACAGTGTAGTGTGTTGGACCGATCAAGGCCTTCTGCAAATGTATCCACACATCGTGACCACGGGGACAGGTGTGTTTGAAATGACTTTATGCTTATATTTAAGACATTTTTTAAACTACACAGTGAAGAAAGGTGGTTGCGTGAGGCAGCAATTCCCTTTTTTAGAAGAGTGACTGAGCATAGTTAAGAGTTTCACAACGATGCAGTCTCATTATGAATCATCTCACTTATTCTCGCAATCAGTTCCCATTTTTACTCTACTCTTTCAAAGTTAGCCTTGAAAACGTACTTTCTTTAACCTCAACACTGTGCTAACAAATGGAAACTGAAGTAATTCCCCTTAAAAAAAAAGAAAAATCTGCAAATAACATTTAACACACTCGATGTATGTAAAGGCCTTCACCTTTGAGTTCCTCGGCACAGAGGAGTTCACGCCTGCAGAAAAAGAGAGCACTTGGATAATGGCTTTGTAAGCTTTCTGACATGCTGAGACGCTCTCCAGCGCAAACGTAATTACAGCCTGACAGCGGGTGGAGGCCCTCACAAAGGCTTGATAATCAGAGGCTGGTGATCGGAGCATGTAGCTCATGACCAGGAGAAGCAGTGACGCTGAAAAGTAATTAAAGTCCCCCATAGAGTGGAGCCATGCAAACTGCGCTCCCAGCTTGCTGCAACACCCCTTCTTGACTTCTTGCTGTTCTATTATTCTCCCTCTCCTTTTCCATCTTCAGTCTTGCTTTATTTTCTCTCACATCCCGCCGCTCCATTCCTTCCCTTTGTCTCCCTCCTAACGCTCTGCCGTCTTCCTCTCGACTCCTGTCTCGCTTTTCTCTTCATGTGTCCATCATTCCTCCAGCCTTTGAGTGCTTTAAAGTGCCTCTCCATCCATCACCTGCTGATTCATGAATGTAGCAGCTACCTGTTATGTGCAAAAAGAAGTGAGTAAATGAACCACAGGATCCCATCAACCATGTACCACCCACATGTTCCAATGCTGAATTTACCCGAAGCTTTTATTTTACAGCCTAAGTCGTAGTGCTGCTACATTTAAAAGTAATGTATGCATACATATTTTCTCTTTCTGTTCGATCCTGCATACCTGAATGTGTATAAGCTCTTCTACATCTTCTAAAATCTCTCAAACTTTTTTGTCAAGCACGCAGTGTTTCATATTATTTTCATGCTGTGGCGTGCAGCTTATCTCCAGCTAAGTCTTTGTGCTATGCAAAGGAGTGAAAGATTACCTCGCGTACTGCTCCCCCGTTCATAGCCCCCTGGCTCACCGATGAGGAGCTCAGAATAAATGGAGAAACGGAGATGTAGGCCATCGAGCAAGTATGTGGATTGGTTAATCCCTTCTCCTTCTCCCCCCCTTTTTTGGCACAGTTCAGGCACCGTATGTGGCCTGCAGTCTCCCCCGGCAATGGAACTAATCACAGAATGTGAATAATATTATTACTCAATTAAATGTTTTCACTTTCTCCAAGCTATCCACCCACTGGTTATGGAACAACTACTGGATTAAAGGACAATCCTGAATAAAGGTCAAGAAATGTGTGTATTTTAACTTTCCAATAAATTCCCATCAGGCAAATTATATGAGAGAGCCGTGGCACTCAAAGAATGCCAAGCAGAAAAATAAAGGAGAATTCCTAAATGCTTTTGATAGCACCTGCCCCGCTCTACCCATCAACACTGAAACCTGGAAACATGAAGCGCATTGAACCTTTGAGGCTGATAACACTTTCAGCTGTGTGCTGGCAGGCATACCAAATCATTACTGCAGTGCATGCCCATGCTACAGTATTGTTGGGCCTGTTTGTGCTGTTGGCAAACCAATATACTTAATGATGCTGAGAAAAGTCAACAAAA